TTCCTGCTTGAGTGGCTCGTGATTTTGTGCCCAGCCAGACTGCGGCAGCCAGTTGCTAAGTGTGTGGCTTTAGGGAAGATGCTTAATCTCCCCATGTCACTTCCTCATGTATAAAATGGAGATGATGAATTTGTTTACCTTGTAAGGTTATTGAATGGATGAATGATAGAAGCTAAAAATGGTGCCTGGAACGACACATCTACCATGTGATTCTAGCACACTGTGGATGTAAGCAGTACTTCCTCACTGGTCTATTTTATTTCCCAAGTGTCATTTGCTAACCTGTAAATTAAAAACTTTTAGGTATATATCAAAAAGTTAACATGGGTTGGTTGTGTCTGGATGTTGGAATTTCGGGTGATTTCATTGTCCTATTTTTGATTATTTATAAGCTTTTGATTATATAAAGCGTTCTAAGCTTTCTGTTGTAAATATGTATTACTTTTTTTAACAAGAGAGAGCAAATACCACTGAGGACCTAAAGGGTGCAGTGAACTAGATGTGAGTGGGTACAAAGTGGAGAAGACATGACCATTGTCCTTAGTAAGAGTTTAAAGTCTACAGAAAGAAACAAGACACACAACAGACAGGAAGAAGTGGACAGTGAGATTAAGGCAGATTAATGGCTTATTTTTTAAATTATTTACATATTCTGATGGCAAATTGACTATATGCAACCAGTATAAGACCAACTCCTACCAGGTGGCACTAGACATCATAGGGAGGTTACTGTCAGTCGTACCCCAACAGTCTTAGAAGTCTGAAATAGGAAAGTAAGATGACCCTGACAAATACAAAGAGAACTTCTTTAATTTATCCCATGGAGCCAGGGGGATGGGGATGGAATTGCTAAGATTCCTTTCTAAGGTATCTATCTCTGGGAAGGGGCTTGCGAGGACTAAAACCTTGGGATACCTTACGTAGCACATCTTGCACGTGACAGATGTGTATCAGATCATGAAGCAGCTTGTCAAATGGAATGAAGAAGTAATTTCCTGCTTCTCTTTCTTTCCACAGCATTATTAGCATCATCATTATTCTGGCTGGAGCAATTGCACTCATCATTGGCTTTGGTATTTCAGGTAAGTGATTTCTTGCATTACTATGGTCCATTCACGCTCACTGTTAAACTAATTGCTCAGTGTGATAGTGTGGAAAGAACACAGGGCTTAGACACAGAAACTTGGGAGCAGAGCACTTGTTCTTCTCTTATTGTGGTTCTCTTCACCTTACTTAATTAACTCCTCGTGCCTTAGTTTCCTCATTGTTAGAAAGGAGAAATAATGCCCAGTCAGTGTTTAGATGAGAGAAATCAAACAATAAGGTTATCAGTAGTCCTCCTATCAGTCAGTGCTGAAGATGTCATTCTGGGATCATGGGAAAAGTGCTGCATCTGAGCCAGTCTATCAATGGTGGACCTGGGTAGATGATTTCCTTGCAATGCAGCTTTGGCTGCAGTGGTATAGAATACCAAGTCTTTGTATACAGGAGTCTTAGATAAAAAGAAAACTGGTCACAAGTACTATACCATGTAGGAAGTAGATGTCACAGTGGCACGGATGGTTAGTTCCCAAAAGGAGTTAAAGGGTGTCCATTGCAGGAAGATTCCTCTTTCCTCCTCTGTGTAGGCCATCTCACTGAAATGCTAAGGGGATTAGGCCAGCAGCTGTCTTCTCTGAGGCAACTTGTTTGCTTTATTTCCCATAAACCACTTGACCTTAGCCAACACATTTATTGTAACTTTATGACCAAAGCTGTCCCTTCACAACTAGTTTGTATAGTTCCAGTGCATTTCCCCTCTGTTACTCTCCTTCAGAGATGTGTGGCCTCTAAATAGTGGTGAAAAGGCCTAAACTAAGAAAACTTGCTATATGCGTGTTTTCCCAGAAAAGATATTAGGACCCTTCTCCAATTTCTTTATCATCAAAAAAATTTATTTTGTCTTTTTTTCACTTCAATTGAATATCACTCTTTGTTGATTTGTGGACATTCTTTACATATTCTGATTGCAAATCGACTACATATATTACCAAATCTTTTCTAATCTGACTTGCTCTCTCACTCTCTGAATAATCTGTCAACAAGTTATAAATTTTAACCCAATTTGATTTATCAGTCTTTTCCTTTATCAAACTTAAGAGTTTTTGGTCATCTGTTTAAGATATTTTTTGCTTATCCCAGGGTCATGAAAATTTTCTTCTGGGTTAAATAGTGAAAGATTTGCTGTTTTGCCTTTTACATTTATAACTAGGGACCATTTAGAATTAATTTTATGGTACAAGATTCAATTTCTCTTTCTGTCTATCTAGTGAGATTCAGCACCATTTATTGAAAACGGTCCTTTCCTGACTTCAGTGCCGATAGTGTCATAAAGCAAGTATCCATAGCAAATATCCATATTCCAAACCTGCTAATCTGTTTCATTCTACTAGAGATGTTCCCTAACTTATGATGGGGTTACAGCTCAAGAGACTTTTTATAAGTTGAAAGTATTATAAGTTGGAAAAAGCATTTAGTACACCTAACCTATTAAACGGTATAGCTTAGCAACATAGCACACTGTAGACTACCAGCTGTGGCCCTCATGTGGCCAACTGGAAGCTGTTCTCATTGCTGGTGCACAGCATCATGACGGAATAGCATACTATTTATCACTAGCCCAGGAAAAGAGGAAAAACTCAAAATTTGGAGTACAATTTCTACTGAATGTTTATTTGAATAAAGTCTAAAAATCAAAAGTTGAATCATTCTAAGTCAGACTGTCTGTAATCCTTAGCAATTCATTTTTCTTTAATTTATGTTATTTTATCTTTTTATCTATTCCTAATTCCTAATCTTGGTCTCTTTCCCAGCTCCTCCTTAAACTAAGTTGTTGAGATTACAGGTTTAATTAGCTTACAGTGGTAAAGAACTAGTTTTGTGTTTATTCATAATTTTTTAAATTTGTTTTCCTGATTTACTAATCTTGACTTTTTATCTTTATTAATATTCTCCTTACTTTATTTTGGCTGTCTTAATTTTTTCTAATATATTGAAATAAGCACTTCATAAAAAGGCATGTTCAAAAAGCCAGTAAATAGCTCTTAGTAGATACTGCCATTCAGTTTTCCAAAGTGATTTACCAATTTACTTTTAGCCAGAAGCTTATGAGACATCCTGAGCTCATGTCCTCCCCAACACTGTGTATTGTGGAATCTTGCCGTCTTCATTTCTGTTTCCTGGTGACTAGAGAGACTGAGTACATTCTCATATAAGAAACATAATGTTGAGTGACAGAGAGCACAAAAAGACTAACTCTGCATGATTCCATGCATGTAAAATTCAAAAACAAGCAAACGAATCTCTGCTTTTAAAAGGTAGCATAATGGTCATTACCTCTGGGGAAGAGTGAATGAGTAGGGCAGGGGGGGCCATGAGGGAACTGCTAATAGGGTAGCAAAATTCTGTTTCTTGGTGTTGATAGTAGTTACGTGGGATAAAGTCGTAATTCTTCAGGGTGCACAGTTACAATGTGTGGAGTTTTATATGTATGTATGATACCTATATTACACATAAACAAATTTGTATGAACATGTATATACACATAAAGATATATGTTCTTTATAAGGAAATAAAACGTTGACTCATAAAGCAAATATTTGAGAGTAACTTTTAAACATATTAATGCTAAGATACATTTTGGCACCTCCCTTGCTAAAGTTTTACTCTTCCCAAATATAATTCACCCTATCCCTGATCTTATTCATCAACTTGAATTAAAACTCTAATGTTTGTCCTTTATTCCTTACCTTGGTGACTAAACCTTCTCGAGTTAGGGCTAACTAGTTTGGCATCAGAACCCTCATAGAATTGTTTATCTTTGTTGTTGGTAGCTATGACTACCCTAGCAAGAATTTTCACAGTGTAATGGCTTTCTTGAATCAGTCAATACCTATGCTACTTATACCTTTTCCTGCTGCATAGATATATCATGCTCAAGTACTGATAACAACCTCAAATACTGAGCTCAGTTGCTTGAATGCAGAGTTGAATCCTTAAGGGTTTTTTTGAATGGATGGATGGATGGATGGATGGATGGATGGATGGATGTGGTAGAGTAATGAATATATAGAAATTATAGGGTATCTGGTAGTGCATTGCCAACAATATTAAAATTCTACTACCACCAATTTCACAAGGTGAAAGCTGATTATTTTGGATAATATGAGCCATTATTAGTTTAATACTACTTAGTTGGATTTTTTTTCAGTTGCCTGTATTAAAAGGGCCATAACCTTTACCAGTGATCATCATACTTTCACACTTTAAATGAATTCAATAAAATGTTAATTGGTTTAATATAAAACACATTGAAATTAAGCAAATAACATTAAGTCGATGATAATGATAATATCCTTTGAACCCTTCCTTTGTGCATCTTCCTTTGTGTACTGAGTAACTTACATGTATTATTTGATTTACTATTATTTTGTATGCACAAAAATAGGAGGTAGATGTTATTAATATGTCCAGATAATAAACCTGTGTAAAGTCATATGCAGCTAGAAAGTAGGCTGTGTTTCAGGTTTGGGTTGTTTGCTTCCAGAACTCACACTTTTACCTGCTACTGCATACCAATGATAATCTCCACACTGAGGATGGACCCCACCCCATAAGCATAAAATGCATTCAAGGTCAATTGTTTGGAAGTGAGGTTGAGGAGCTCCCTGATTATAGGACAGTCATTGTGGATCACCCCTGGAGAAGGAAGGAGATAATAGTGGAAAGGCTCCTGGCCACATTTAACCTAGTCCCTGTGTTATCACTCACTCACTGGTGACTTTGAGCAGCTTTGTGGAGTGGAAAAGTTTGAGAGTCAGTGATGTACCAATCTCTGGTCTGACAACTATGAGTCCTTTTGGATGTAACTTTCTAGAACCAGTTTCCTTACTGGTAAAGTAGATAAGGTTATTGGGAGAACTAAATGAGAGTGCCTATAAAGCACCTGACATGTGTATGATAAATGGTTGCCATTGTCATTTATATTGACACCATTAATGCTATTCATAAAAGTTTGCTATTATTAATACATTTATATAACAACTTCTAGGAACTGTACAATTTCCTCATCACACCAGGGCAGGCCTCCTTTGAAGCTGGGGAGGTTAAGGCAGGAAGCTACAGTGCACTTTCTCCTAAGCCAGTGTGTGCATAACACAAATTATTTGGAAACTATTTGGCCTTCCTTACATTTACTTTATGTTTTTTAATTATTATTTTTTGATTGATTGATTGTAGTTTTGGGGACTGAACCCAGAACTCGTGTAGGCTAGGCTATTATTCTACCACTGAGCTACATTCCCAGCCCTATTGATTTTATTTTTAAGTGAAATAGAAATATCTTTTTTTTTCTTTTTCTTTTTATTGTAATTTGTTATATATGGCAGCAGAATGCATTATAATTTATATTACACCTACAGAGCACAAATTTTCATATCTCTGGTTGTACACAAAGTAGTACATTCGTGTCTTCATACATGTACTTAAGGTAATGAAGTCCATCTCATTCCGCAGTCTTTCCTACCCCCATGCCTTCTCCCTTCCCCTCCCTCCTGGTTGCTCTATCTAGAGTTCCTCCCCCACAACCCCATTATGAATCAGTGAAATAGGAATATCTTTTGATGGGTTGGCCCTCTACATATTTCATCTTGCTCTTGTTTTCAATAATATGTGGTAGAAAGAACACAGTCTTAGTGCCACGCAAGACTGGTTTGACCTTGGCTCTACTACCTACTGCTAGATACAGGAAATTAGTCAAATCATTTAACCTCACAAAGCCTTATTCTTATTCATAAAACAGGTATAATAATCATTCTTACCCCCAATGGCTTAAAATGAGTCACAGTAAATAAAGAATTTGCTAAAACTTTCCTTTCTTAACTTTCTGGGGCTCTGATCTGTTATATTTTCAAGTGATTATAGTTAATGGCTATTGATAGCAATGATATAAGGTTTAACATGGCAAGTTGAGGTTCTATATTAAGTACTTTACTTGCATTTCTGTATCATTTAGTCGTCAGAGAGCATCCTTAATTTACAGACGAAAAAATTATGGAAGAAAGAGGTTAGAAAACTTGTCCAAGGTCATATATCTAAGAAGTGGCCGATCTGGGACTTGAACCCAGACAGCCTGATGCCCATGTCATGCTCTCAGATACCACACTCGACTGCTTCCCTAAGATTTGAGTCAGCTTTTTTTGCTGCTGTGACCAAAAGACCTGACAAGAACAATTAGAGGAGGAAAAGTTTATTTAGGGGCTCATAGTTTCAGAGGTACATAGCCAGCTCCCTTCCTCAGAACTCAAGAGGAGGCAGGCACCATGTTGGAAGAGTGTGGTGAAGGAAAGCAGGTTAGTACATGACCACCAAGAAGCAGAGAGAGAAAGAAAAGAAGAGAGGGAGTGGAGGGAAGGAGACTCAACTCAACAAGGACAGAATATAAGCCCCAAAGACATGCTCCCAATGACCCACTTCCTCCAGCCACACCCTACCTGCCTTCAGTTACCACCCAGTTAAAAATCCATATCAAGGGATTGATGCACTTATTAGGTTAAACCTTTTATAACCCAATGATTTCATCTCTAAACTTTCTTGCATTGTCTCACACATGAGCTTTGGGGGGAATACCTCCTATCTAAACCATAATACCAACATTTTTCCTTTGTTGGGTCTGGTCCAGTATCCTTTCTAGTTTCTTCTAACATGAGCAACTGCTATTTCCAGTCTCAACTCTTCTTTGGCAGGAGTGGGTGCTACACCTGGAAGCACTGGTGCAGGCTTGAACCTTGTGTTTCCACCTGTAAGCCATGTACTGTGGTGCCCATCTGGATGGCTGAGTTTCAGCAGAGGCGGAGTGACCATCTGCTGGGGGCTTCTTGCATATTCTCTATGCTATTGGAACATTGTTCGTCTTACTGAGCCTTGTTAAAGGACAGTTTATTTCCCAGGTTTTATCCTGTGTTGCAGGGTACCCCAGAATCATTGCTTCTTTACAGGAATTCTGGGTTACCTGTACTCCTGCTTTCCAAGATATTCCTGTTACCAGTGAAGGATCAATTGAATAGTACTGAACTCCTGTGAAAACCAAAATGCTCAGATTTCAGCTTGCTCCACTTTAATGGCTCCCACCCTTTCTTCACACAGACTAGAGCAGAATAATTACCCTTCACGAGCGGGATAATTCATTTTTAACAGTTAGCTGCCTTCCACTTCTTAAAGAGGTTTGATGCAATTTTAGAGGGAAATGACACACTTTAAATCTATGCTCATTTAACGGAATTTTATATCAATACTTAGCAACCTATAGCTCATCTCCATAGGACCCTTTTGTCCTTTGACGAACCAAATCACATAAAAGCCTCTGGTGGCCCATGGGCCTGCAGAAACTTATCAGGCCAAACTGCATAAAGCTCCTTGCGCTAATTTTTGTTTTCAAGTCTGAATACAGACTTCTTTTTTGTAAGAATGTACACATGTTGCTTGCACATTGAATTTCATTTTTTTCATTTTTAACCATCATTTATTCGTTTAACAAGAAAGTTTTTATTGATTGCTTTCTGAATCCAAAGCAGTGGCTAGGTCCTCGAGGTTTTTTAAAGTTCTTACTGGCTTTTATTCCAACTCTTTATTTGATATGGGGGAGAGATTTAATCGACATTACACTCATTCCATCTGCCACATCATTAATGCAACCTTAAATGATAGAACTTGCAGCAGGTCCCTGGGGGCACTCCACAGCTGCCTACTTTTAATCATTAATTTCTCTAGGAGATATTTCAATGGATTCCCTACCTGTGGGCTCAAGGCCAACACATTAAAATTAATTCAGCAACACAATTACCAAACTAAGATATGTCATTATCATTTCATTTTCTTCATAAACTGTGCTAATCATGCATTTTTTTCGAAAAGTAATTTTTCAATTCCACTTTAATGGCACTTTATAAACTATAATCAAATTTACTCCTGCTCTAACATAGTTACACGTGCTCCATGATTTTGAGAATTTCTATGTATTTTTATTGCCTTCTTTTACACTGATTCACGTTTCCCCAGAATTTAAATGTGATAATTCTGCCAAATGTTCTTTACTCTTGCAGTGGATACATTTTCTCAAATAGTGCTTTGATTTCAACTTATTCCCATTCATTTATTCATGTATTCATACCCTCAGCAAATATTGTTTTTCTCTACAGAAACAGCACCAGGCACTATAGGACCTATAGATAAGACTGAGATAGCTTTTGCCCTTAAGAAAACTTATAAATTAATACAAGAGATAGGCCAGAGACATGGTAAAGAAGACAGCTGTCATGATAAAGATAAACATGAGTGTTAAGAAAGAGTAATGAGAAGTAGTTACAAATTTTATCTTCACGGACTAAAAGAAGGTATTACGTAAGGACTGCCATCTGAACAGGTCTGACTATAAGCAGAATATGGATAACCAGTGATAAGGGAGAAGAAGGAACTTTGAGTTGTAGGTGCCAGATGTGCAGGGTGTGAAGGTGCATAGGGATAGTATGACCCATGGCAACCTGGGATGCCTTATCAGTCTGTTAAATAGGAATAATTAAAAAGCAAACTGAAGCTTTTAAGAGCAGTGTTCAAGCAAATGCTAAGGCAAGAGACGGATGTGTGTTGCATTCATACTACTCAGCAAAGTCTTCATATTGTTTGCTTTCATGATTCTTTCCCAAATCTGTCACATGAATGGTCATGCATGGCAGCTGTTCCCAAAATCTCTTTCTCCCATGCTCAAGCCTCCAGAACATTCTTCCAGCCTTGCCTATGCACATTTTGCTAGCTATAATTTTTCTTCTCCCTTTTACTAACTATAATTTTTCTTCTATCAGTAGCTCTGTTCTTCTTATGCAAGTCTATCTAGTTTAGCTTTTCCAGTTCTCACACCCATTATTGCCATCTATCTATTTTACAAAGGCCTAGAGTCAGACAATTCCAAGTCCAAGCTTCGCATCCAAACCACAGAAGGAGCCTCTAAGAAGATTCAGTTAAATTAAATCACATCTGTAGGTGCCCTTACTCAACAGCCTCCAGTCCACAAAGGAGGGCTGATTGCTCTTTCCCCGACTGGGTGGGTTATAGGCTGGGCAACTGGTGAAGAGGCAATGACACGTAGCTGGCACTATAATTAGTATTTCTACTGCTGGTGTATTCCTAGAGGAGCGGGTAGCTTCTATCTTTACCAAAAATCAACTGAATTAAGTTGACTCATTATGCCATCCATAGCTAACACTATAATCTCAACCTAGTTGGGTATCTTCTCTATGCTTTAGTTTCTTCACCATTCAAATGGATATAAGTACCAGCACTTCAGAATGTAGTCTTACTAGATACATTTAGCTAATATGAGATTTCACTTTGTGCCACTTCTGGTTGACTAAAAATAATAATATCTTATATGTACAGTTATGGTTTGCAAATCAAGTTCACATCCATTTTATTTGGTCCTCATAAGAACTCCTTAGGGTAGGTGAGAAAGATATAATTACCTCCATTTTTCTGAGAATCAGAGGGCCTACATGACTTATTAAGTATCAAAGCCAGACTTGATGTTCAAATGGTAGTGAGACTTGAATGAGAATCTTCAAACCCCAAATCCAATTTCCTCTTACCGCCTCTCAATGGGTTGATTGGTATTACAAAAGCTATTGGGTATGGTAGATCTGGTGTAGATATTAAAATTATTGTCTTCCTGTTCTTTATGTTCTCATCTCCCTTTTTTTAAAAAAAAATGCCTTTCCTGTTCTATATTTTTCATTTATCACAGAAATCTCTGCTTGGCTTTTAGTAATAAAGGGTTTGGCTGTAGAAGTTCCCAGGCTTCCCTTGGTATTGATCCTTGCCTCCTGGATTGCAGGGAAACACTCCATCACAGTCACTACCTTCACCTCAGCTGGGAACATTGGAGAAGATGGAATCCTGAGCTGCACTTTTGAACCTGATATCAAATTGAATGGTATTGTGATACAGTGGCAGAAGGAAGGTGTCGTGGGTTTAGTCCATGAGTTCAAAGAAGGCAAAGATAATCCTTCAGACCAGGATAAAATGTTCAGAGGCCGGACAGCAGTGTTTGCTGATCAAGTGATCGTTGGCAATGCTTCCTTGAGGCTGAAAAAAGTGCAACTCACAGATGCTGGCACCTATAAGTGTCACATCACCACTTCCAAAGGCAAAGGGAATGCTAACCTGGAGTATAAAACTGGAGGTGAGTGACTTTGGTAGAGAGGGAAAGAAAGTACCAAAAGGTATTTGAGCTGAAGAGCATGAATTGCTGATGAAATACCATGTTGTCCTCACGAATGACCAATATCAGACAAATCCCTCTGAGCTCTCTTAGTAGCCATCTTGTCAAGATCCACATCAGCTCCAAAAGTAGCCCACTATCATATTAGGACTTGAAATCTTTTGTTCTTGGCTCTTTCCATTTCTGAATTTCCAGATGTATTTCCTAAGATGTTTTACCAGAATAAATACTGTCTCTTTATAGTGACCTTCACTATTCCTAATAAGAGAAGTCTACAATCTTGTTGGGAATGTTACTATGCTGATTATGCCCAAGCCCACATCTGAAATGAGTCCTTCTAGAGATAGTGGAACTTTTGCAGAAGTTCAAGGGAAATAAGCAAAACAAATTTTCCTATATACTCAATAGTACTTTCCCAATGAAATCACCCTTCTTTGCCTACCCAATTTAATAAATGTTTTCTGAATTTATATACAAGGGGCTTAGATAGATAGACTAAAGTCTAGTTTTAGTTAATACCAATGTATCGGTGATGGCTTCTCACTTTTGACAAATGTGCAATGTTTACTTAAGATGATTAAATAAACATGGAGGAAACTGGGAGAGGAATATACAGGATCTCTCTTTGGACTATCTTTGCTCCTCTTGTGTAAATCTAAAATTATTTCAAAATTAAAAGTTTATTTTCACATATGGGTAATAGTAGATATCCACAGGATTCTTCTGACAATCAAATTAAATAAGAGCTGAGATAAAACACTAGCAGAAAGTACACTCTCGGTAAATGGTGGCTCACTGTTGTGTACACTTCAAATCCCATGTCATCCCCCAGGACCTGTTCCCTACCTGCTCCAAGAACATGAGTCTTGTTTCCCCTGCTAGATAACAAGCTCAGTGAGGACAAAATAAAGACTTTTCTTTTCATGCTTACTCAGCACTAGTCCATTCCTGGTCAAAAGAAAATGCTAAATAAAATAGTAAATTGTGTCTTGCTATTTGGGCCTAATTAAAAAGTCCAGGACCTAACACTTTTTTTCTACAAGTGTCTTTCTGCCTACATAAAAAGGAAGTAGTCTTAATTTCAAAATGCAGTGACTTCTTAAGTGAGGAAAAGTATTTTAGAAAAAAAAATGCCCATTTCTATTCCTGGATACCAGGGCTATACAATCTCTAACCCAAGCAGACTCCAAGTCCTCATGATGACAAAGGTCATGAATGGAATGTCTGTGAGTGACAGGTGAATACTGTTTGTTTCTTTTCTTTCTCTCTTTCCATCCCCCCCCCCACTGACCTAACTTTATCCTCTAGGAAGAACAATATATAAAATCCAGAAGGCTGGATTCCAAAGATTCCTGAAAAAATGTCCAATTGTCCTAAGAAATAAGCTTTTCTGTAATCATTGGAGCTCATCTTACTAGAGGACATCATCTGATGTAACAATAATATATTGAAAACTTAGGTCCTGGGGGTTTGTGATATTAGCCAAATGGATATCATGTATAGCATCACTATGAGCAAACCATCATTTACATCTACAGTAAAATGGGCCATGAACAGACATTGCCCTGGGGAAGTACTGAGTCACTTCAATGATAGTGATAACCTTTTGTGCTTTTGGAGACCTAGCAATTCAAGTCTGTCTTATCTGTCTGACTTTGACATTTGTCCTTTTTAACCTCTGACTCTGCAGCCTTCAGCATGCCAGAGATGAACGTGGAATATAATGCCAGTTCAGAGAACTTGCGTTGTGAGGCTCCCCGATGGTTTCCCCAGCCCACAGTGGTCTGGGCATCCCAAGTTAATCAGGGAGCCAACTTCTCAGAAGTCTCCAACACTAGCTTTGAGCTGAACTCTGAGAATGTGACCATGAAGGTTGTTTCGGTGCTCTACAACGTCAACATCAACAACACATACTCCTGTATGATTGAAAACAACATTGCCAAAGCCACAGGGGATATCAAAGTGACAGGTGGGTTGATTCCATGCTTCTTCCCTCTGTGATGCTGGGGCTCAAACGTAGGGCCTCACACAATCTAGACAAGTGTTCTACACTGAGCGCCATCCCCAGCCCTCTCCATGCTTTATGTATGAGTTTATTGTGGGGAAAATAATGTCTACATTAAAATTCCATTTATTTAACAGATGTTATATGATAGGGTCCGAAAAATCTCTAGAGTCTTTCTCACTGAGACCTTGGTCACGAGATTCCAGGTTGGACTGCCTTATGTTATAGAAAGCCTAACACAGCACGATATTTGTAGCCTATAGTTAAAGATGACAATTGGGTTTCATCTTGTATGCATTCTCGTGGACTGGTTTTCTGGAGACCAGTGTTTAGAATTCTGAGGCTCTGTCTAACTTAGTAGAACTACTTTGATATGGTTGTGGGGAAGTGATGATTATTTGACATCTTTGATATATCTAGTTGATAACTATACTCTAAGTTCCCCCAAACTGGTTTGGTTCCAATCTGCCTTTGAGAATCGAAAGACTTAAGGTCTAGACTCTGACTCCATTTTATTCAGCCCCCATGGGACTGACTCAGGATTTCACTAATATTAGTCCAGAATTAATCTGAAATCCCTGGACTGAGCTGGGCTCCCAGGACCCTAGACCCACATCCTCAGTACTTCCTGCAGTACTTTAATGCACACAAAACCTAGGGTTGAGCTAGTGTCAAGAAAATGCACAGACTAAATTATGATGTTTCAGAAATCCCTCCTGGAGCTAAATTGAATTCAAACTGTAGAGGAAGGAGTTTGTCAGGAGAATTGCTATCTATATCAAGCCTGGAACTAGGCAGAAAATATCTTGCTCATTTTAAGTGCTCTGTAAATGTTTGCTGAATTTAACTGACTAAATCACATTCATAACAGCTTATATTTTTATTTAAAATTATATATATGAAAAAGAAATCTATGGGATGGGTGAAAATATTTGCAAATCATATATCTAATAAGGTGTTAATATCCAAAATATGTAAAGAACTCCTACTACTCAACAACAAAAAATCAAATAGCCAGATTTTAAAATGAGCAAGGGATTTGAATAGACTTTTTTTCAAAATTTGATACTCAAATGCCCCCAAAGCACATGAAGAAGATATTTAAAATCACTAATCATCAGAGAAATGCAAACTAAAGCCACAATAAGATATCACCTCATATCCATTAGGGTAGCTACTATCATACACATAAGAGTCCCAGAAAATGACAAGGGTTGGTGAGGATATTGAGAAATTGAAACTCTCATGCACTGTTGGCAAGATTGTAAAATTGTGCAACCATTATAAAAAACCATATGGAATCTATGATATAGTAATCCAACTTCTGGGTATACATCCCAAAGAATTCAAAGTCTCTCATAGAGATATTTGCTTACACGTGTTCATAATAGCATCATTCACAATAATCAAGAGGTAGAAGCAACACAAAATGTCCATCAATGACATTTAATTTTAATTAAAAATTAAATTAATTTCTTTAATTTTTCTGGATTAAAGAAAAATTCTGGTGTATACATACAATGGAATAGTACGCAGCCTTGAAAAAAAGAAAATCAGCTGGGCATGGTGGCACACACCTGTCATCCCAGCAACTTGGGAGGATCACAAAAGGCCAAGCTGGGCAACTTAATGAGATCCTGTATTAAAACAAAAATGAAAAGGGCTGGGACTGTAGCTCAGTGGTAGAATGAGGCATTTGGTTCAATCCCCAATACAAAAAAAAAAAAGAAATCCTATCACATGGTATAACATGGATGAGCTTTCAGGAAATTATGCTAAGATAAAGAAGTTTAGCTACCAAAAAAAGGGCAAATATTATATGATTCTATTTATATTAGTCTTCTAAACTAGCTAAACTCACAAAAACCACCACAGGTGGGATGGAGGAGGTGGGGAACAAGCTGATGTCTAATGATATAGAGTTTCAGATCTGCAAGATTAAAAAGCTCGAGAGATCTGTTTTACAACAATGTGCATATACTTAAAAGAACTGAACTATACATTTGAAAATAGTTAAGATGGTAAATGTGATTTTTTTTTACTACATTTTAAAATTATCTAATGAAAATATATGGGAGGGAGAGAGCTATTTTGAAAAAAATTGGGGATGGTCTGGTTAGATCTCTTAGCTACCTTTAACAGAGAATGACTCAAATAAATAAGTCTAAGTTAAAAAGAGGGATTCATTCAGAGTCCTGGGTTGTCTCACAGAACCCAAGTTAAAAAGGGCAGTTTGCTTCAGAAACAGCTGAAACCAGGAACTGAATTGTATTGGGATTCCTCGTCTCTCTTTTCTATGTGATTCTCTCTTTGCTCCACCTTCTTTTAGTTTCCATGTGGGAAAATGTGGTTACCAAAAGCTCTAAAATTAAAAAGTCTCGGTCAACCAGGTGAGTAAACAGACCGAACCTCAGTCTATCAGTGCCATTCTACATTCCCCAAAAGGACTGACCCGGTTGATGTGGGCAAGCTGACCATCTCTAGACCAGTGTGCAGGATCTGATGGAAGGCCTGGCCAGAAAAGAAGGGGAAATGAACACTGGCTATTTACAAAATTCAGTTCAAATCTTAAAAAAAACAAAACAACTCCACAGTGTATAATTAACGCCTTTTGGCAGAAAAGGCAATGACTACACACAAGCTAGACATTGAGAATACCTTGTATTCAGTGAACAGTTCCTCTTTTCCTTATATGCTTATCAGATACATCGGAACTTCCAAAATGGTTTGGGTAGAAAAATAGCCTTCAAGTCAGAAGCCTATGGCAATGATTAACTGGAGCAATAGAAATGGGAAAGAAAGAAGAATCAAAAGATACTTGAAGAAACAAAACTTGTATTTGTACTTTTTTTTTTTTTTTTTTGTACTAGAGGTTGAACCCAGGGACACTTTTCCACTGAGCTATGCCCCTAGCCCTTTTATTTCTTATTTTGAAACAGGGACTCACTAAGTTGCTTAGGGCCTCTTTAAGTTGCTGAGGCTGGCCTCAAACTTGCAATCCTCCTGCCTCAGCCTCCTGCACTACCATGCCTGGCAAGAAATACAACTTTTGATAGCTCAAGATTAAAAAAATAAACAGAATTCCTTCTTGTTATTCACAATGTAGGAACTCCATACATGCTTTGAAGCCACTGAGGGGGGTCATAGGATGTAAATCTCTTATTCTCTAACTATACTGGTAATTTAAGTCATTCATCCAAGAAGTATATATTATGTGCCAGGTGTTATGTTCACAGCATTTTTTTAAGCACCATGAGATACTGAGATTAATAGCACAAATATAATAAGAAAAGTTTATCACAGTATAGATATGGTTCTTGCAGGAAAGAATTGTTAATTATTACTGGACTGGGTCAGTAAATAAGGCAAAGTTCAAGTTGGGTTCCGGAAGGAGAAGAAAAATGGTGTGGGTAAAATAATAAGTCTTGAAGTTAGGAGCCTATGGCAATGGTCCAAGGGAGGAAATTATGAGCATATTAACTGGAGCAGTTATATATATAATAACTGGGAAAGAAAAGAAAGGAGAATCAAGATACTTGAAGAAAGCCTTCTACCGGGCTTAGTGATGCAAATGTGAAGGTCAAGAGAAATAAATCAAAATGGATTTGATATTTGTACCCAGGCTGTTTAGGAGGTTGGTAAGGTTACCCGAAAAAAAAAAAAAAGAAGAAGAAGAATGTCCATGGTGTATACAGGAAGAGATGTTCCATGTTTGGCACATCACCCAGCATGTGATGGGTTTGGGGAGAAACTACATCCCTACTCCCTGTATTTCCTTCTATCAAAAGGGATCCTATGTATGTAAGAGATGATATTTAACATATGTAATCTTTTTAGCCTCTGTCTTCCTCCCTCTTTCATTCCTTCCCAGAGAAGGGGGAAACAGTTTATTTGAGTGATGAGTACAGAAGGAGACACTGGACATTTGTAGCTTAGCACCTTCTTTTCTCCTTTCTCTGTGGCTAACTCTCAGGAAGTATATATTCTGTTCTGTTCCTCCAAGCCATTGGTTTTTCAGGGGTAGAATCTACCCTAGCAGAAGGAAGCTGGCCCTGGTCTGATTTTGCCTACAAAACACCCTTTTTTATTTTCAGAATTTGGGCAATAAAGGCGATATTTTGGTCTTTCAGTTGCCTTAATCTTTTTGTCCTTCTCTGTAATTGCTTTTGAGCAAGGCTGGCAAGAGGGTGTAATTTATTGGACTGTTTGGATTCCCAACAGTAGGCGCTCAAAAATATTTACTGAACAATTATATTTTAACTGACATATTTAGTAGCAACTGTAAATCCAGATGTGGAACTCAGGACAGAATTAAGCTAAGAAAATAGATTCATACTTGATGAACATGGAAGGAAAGATTATTAGGTTTCAGTGGGGCTACTATTATTGTTGTGTCTGTAGCTAATACTTATGGAGTGGTTACTATGTGCAGGCACTATTCTAAGTATTTAATATGTACTTAACCACTCATTAGTCCTCAACAGAACCCTATAAAGTCGGTTACTATTATTTTAACCCTATTTTATAGAGGAAGAAATTGGAGCAAATGTATGTTGAGTAACTTGTCTAAAGCACACAGCTAGTAAGCGACAGAACTGAAACGAACTAAACGAGACTGGAGAGCAAAAGAAGAGTGATTTTATTTCTTCACTTCCACCTTTTTCTCCTTCAAAATGAAAACAATAATTCCTTGTCCCTTCATAGAGGTGTGATGAAAGCCGATGACACAGGACCTGTAAAGGTCAACGCCTGGGCAAAGAATGTGTCCAAAACCAAGGACTGGCTGTGGCTGTTCAGTTAGCCTATTCTTTATGTGGAAACCAATAACGGTTTCTTTATTGGTATAGTTTTTCATTTGGCTGAGTGTTCCCTGGAGTGAGTCTGGAATGGGACTTCTTTTGAAGTCCCATTCCAGATGAATTTCTAATAACCTACAACAACTGGCTTCTAAGCCAGTTGCAAGAAGGTGGGGGAAGAGGTACAAGATTGCTTGTGCCAGGAACATGTCTACAGGTACTTTTCTTTGCTAACAATCATGCGAAGAACACATTCAACTTCTCTTAGATGACCCTGAACTTTTTTCTCTCCCTTTCCAGACTCTGAGATCAAAAGGCGGAGCCACCTGCAGCTGCTGAACTCAAAGGCTTCCTCTTGTGTCTCCTCTTTCTTTGCCGTCATCTGGGTACTCCTGCCACTCTCCCCTTACCTGATGCTAAAATAATATGCCTTGGCCACACAAAAGCATGCAAAGTTATTGGTACAACAGGTGAGATAAACCCCCAGTGGTGTGGGAGTTTGGTCGTGTGTGTCCCTGTGTTCCTAACAAGGGTCAAGCAGCCTGCAGCATCAGCCACAGAGAGCAACATTCAATGGTGCCAGCCCATGATGCTATTTCTTTCTACTACTTCTGTGAAAGGCAATCATTTGCTGGCTTACAAGAGAGCAGAGATATCATTGACAGACTTGTAGAAAAACCAACTCTGCACAATTCAAATATTTGTGTAAATTCAAGCACCGTTTCATTTATGGAGTCATCCGTGAAGACAAAAATATCTTATTGAGGAGGAAGAGATGTTCAGCCCTGATTAATTCCTCTGGATGTTATTGTCATTTACAAAGCATGATGACATGCACCTACCTTAGTGACCTCTTTACCACCCCTCCACCTCAGGCCCTGAGGACGGTTGGCAGATGATTCACCAGCAAGCCCTTCTGCCAAGATTTCTCATTCTCAATTCAGATCTCTGGCTCCGATTATTGTTAGGACATTTCCTTCTGAATGTTCTACTGCATATGAAATTTGTATAAAACCAAACTCATGAGGTTTTAGTTAATACTCCCCCTTCCTGAGTGACTTCCCTACCAAGCCTCCAGACTCAGTACTAGAGCTCTTTGTCTCCCCTCTGTCCTGCATGTCCAAGTGTCGTCACCCACTAGGCCATTTCCCCCTGTGTTATCTCTCAGATGGTCCCTAATCCAGCCTTCATCATCTCACACCCAGACTAGTTCTGAAACTTTGTACTTGTTCTGTCTTCTCTCTGTAGGAAGCAAGGAAGCAGAACAAAAGTATTTGAACATTAATTGAATCACAAAGTTTCTTTGCTCTGGAGCCCAGAATGACTCTCTGGGCACTGTTGTATCAAAGTTCAAGTCCTCATCTTACAGTCATGACCCTCTCAGTTTCTCTCCCTGGACTTCCTCCTCTCAACTCTTCTCTGGTCTTGCTCTCTCATTCTGCCCTTTTCTGGAAATCTACTCTGCAGGAATCCATATCCATGCATTCCTTTATCCATTTCAGGAAAGTGCTTTCTAGTTTAAACCCCCTTTCCTGAGGGCCCTTGGCATGTATGTATAATTTATATCTCACTCTTTTTACAGCACATGCATTCCTTGCCTAGATGGTTAAGACCTTAAGACAGACAAAGATCTGTTATTCTGCTTCTTTTCATCTTGTTCTCCAAACTCTTACTACAGTACAGTGCACAAAGTAGATTCTTTGTAAGAAAACCTGTCAGTTCCCAATCCTACATGGTTGTCAAGCAGAGGGAGATTCCCCCGAGGAAGCTATCCCCGGGGGATCTCACTACTAGAAGAAGGATTCCAATCTTCTTTCCTTCAACCCCTACAACACTGTAAATGAATTTCTAATAACCTACAACTAGATAATATGACCTATAATGTACAGCTTATTCGTCTTTACCTTGTATTCCCTTTGAGCAATAATTTGCAGCCTTTTTAGTTGAAAGTGTTCACACACAGTGTAAGGGCTATATACTGTTACCCAGCAAGCTATGGCGACACAGCTCTTTCTCCCAAGAACTATAGAGGAATAACCTTGAATCAAATAGATTTTTAAAAGTGGATAGATCGTTATTTAAGACACATGGTATAACTGTTCAATTCGTGTAGTTATACACACTCTCAGACTGGGAATGAGGCAGAAGCTATTTTCCCAGAATCCTCCACCATGGAACCTACCCACACCTCAGCTCTCAGTTTCTGTTTGCTCTGAGGACCTGGCTCTTCTCTGAGACTGTCACTGAAATGAATCCCCTTTAAGATGAGATTTTAAACCATCCACCTTCCCTCAGCAACTCATGAGATCATATGGCCATGACAGAACCACATTAAAACACAGAAAAATAAGCCCATTTCTAAACAAGAGATACATTCACCCAGTGGCAGGGAGACTTTCAGTTCTCAATAAATGTTTGCTGAGAGGCTGTAATGGTATCTTATTGCTGTTATTTTCAGAATCCCAGGAATCTACAGAACTATTTTTTTATAAGATATGACCTAGTTTTATATTTCTAGGGGGAAATGAATTCATGGCTAGAAGTCTGGAGTGAACAAACAAGAACAAGAAATAAAAAGAAGACAAAAGCAACCCACAGAAGACTCCAATATGAACAAGACACGTGTTAAAAGTTGGGGAAATCATTCATCCAGACTGGAGAAGCACGTTAAGACTGCTCAATAGAATGCATGTGGAGACAAGTATATTCCCATGACTCAGGGACCTCCCCTTCTCCGTTAACTCCTGGGGAGTGAGAGGATGGGATAATTGCATCTCACTGAATCCTTAGTTATATGTGCTGTAATGTTGCTTTGAAGAAGTTCCTGGAAAGTTTCAACCACCATATATTCATATCTTATATTCTGCGCACTGAGCTGTGGTATATGCTCTAAGAAACTGCAAATCAGCTTCACAACTCAGAGGTGACTGCATTTTCGTGAAGGGTCAAATGATTCACTTCTCATTACAATGCTTTCAAAAGTGCCTTGGCTGCTTCTCCCACTTGACAAATGCCAAAGATGTGGAAAATTATAATTTTGGTGTAAACGAAGAAGTTGGGTGACACTGGTTTTCTAAATAATCTTAGCACCTTCTTTTTTGAACAAATGGCATTTTATTTCTCAGATTGGCATTGACCTGTGAATGGCCCAGGGAAGGATCTCTCACCTTATTGTGTGACATTATGTCATTACAAGGTTTGAGGGTTCTACTTTCTTTCTATACCTCAGCTTTCAATAGCATCCAAAGCACTGGGACTCAATTGGAGTGATTTTACTCCCTCTTTTCTCTCAGGGACATTTGGCAATGTCTGGAGTCAACTGTGGTTGTCACCACTTGAGTAAGGCAGTGCAAGGTGCCACTGTCACCTAGTGAATGGATCCCAGGGATGCTGCCTGATATCCTACAATGTACAGGACATTTCCCCACAACAGGGATTCTCTGTCCCAAATGTCAATTGTGCCAAAGTCATGAAACCCTGATTTAGAGTAGAAAGAAAACTAGGAGAGAGGAGAGCAAACAAACCTATTTGCTTCTTAAAAACAAGCATTGGCTTCTGTCCCTTTGGCTACTGCCCCTTTGGCTACTGCTTCAGCTCAGAGAGCCAGATCTCTGTGTTGGGCAACCAGAATAACATCTTTCAGTGAACAGAGTTGACAAGGCATGAGGGAAATTCCTAATGGGATTATCTTTAGCTCATTGAGCTTCTAAATTCCTTTCCCTTTATTCTACCCTATGAACTAAGCTCTGTAAGAAACCTAAATTCCATCTCAAGTTCTTTCACTCTGGATTTTAGGTCTCAGGACTCTGCCTAGCCAAAACACAAATTAAGGCAACAAATATGTACCTTTCTTGAACACATAGAGACTTTGGAAGTTTTTTGTTTTTTTTCATCTTTTTTCTTCCTTTAAGGTCCTGACGGGGCCTGGAGTGTGCTAGGTAAGTGTTCTACCACTGAGCTATATGCTAGCCCACACAGAGACTTCTAAAAGAAAGCAGGGAAATGACCTTTTGAGGCTGTGAGGAACAAAATCTTGATGAAAAAGAATGTTTTGTTTCCAGCCCCCTCCCCACACTTTTCGTAGGTGGACCATTGCCTCCCTGGCCCTTTGAACTACCATGTCTGTGTTACATTTTGTTATAGAAAAACCTCATTTCAGAGCGCTGACCATTCAAGAGAAAGATTATTAAATATACATTTCCTATGCTGTTGTCTGCCTGATCTGTCAAAGAAAGAGAAGATGGATTTAAAAGCCATGAAACAGATTCTCAAGACTAGTACCTCGCACATAACAGGCCTTCTCTCAATGTTGGTGGAGTGAGTGGGGTGGGGTAATGACAGGATCCTGTGAGAAGGGGCTAGTGTCAGGCCTAGTTTTTGAAGGATATTTGACTGGGTTTATACTAGCCTAGCATGTTTCCATCTGGAAAAATGCTGGTGACACTGAGCTTGAGGCAGATAAATGTAGGAAAGTAGGTATAATTGGACAAACTAACTGCTCTCAACTTTAAAAAAAAGAAAAAGAAAATCTGACTCTTACTACTGAGGAATTATCAAATTCTCAAATTGTAGAGCTACAAAAATCTCAAAATTATCTTTTCTAATCTTCTCACTTTTCAGATAAAGACCCAGAGATCCAATACAAAGTGTGAGTCACTGGCTCATACACGGGCTCCTCAGGTTAATATAATTTTCCAAGAGCCACACTGGTAACTGGTAGAAAGATAAAACCTGTAGAAAATTTAATTTCTGACAGGCAAATACCCATGGAACTTTCAGAATAACTCTGTACCAGTGCATTCTCAGCTTGATCCCAATAAACCTGTTACAGAAAAAAAAAAACTGTTAGTCAAGTTTTTGCCACTGTGACTAAATACCTGAGAGAATCCACTTAAAAGAGGGAAGATTTATTTTGGCTCACAATTTCAGAGATTTTAGTCCATAGTTGCTTTGGAGCCTGTGGAGAGGCAGAACATCATGACTAATTGCACATGGTAGAATAAAGTTGCTTACTTGATGGTGGCCAGGAAGCAAAGAGAGAGGAAGGCATTGCGGTCCCAATATCCATTTCAAGAATACTCCCCCAATTACCCAGCTTCCTTCCTCCAGGCCCAACCTCCTAAAGGAGGCCTCACTTCCTTCTACTAGGCCTCTACCACCTCTCGATAGTGCTATAGGCTGACCACCAAGCCTTTAATACATGGGCCTTTGGAAAAGATTTCAGATTCAAACGGTAAGAGAGAAAGGTTAATGAAAGTATAAAAGCATAAACACGCCTAACCCCTATTACTTCTGTGGCCTGTCCATGATGCATTAGACACAGCAGATGCATTAGACAAGAGATACGTACAAACAAAGCAAAATATGATATATACCACAAGCATCTGTAACTGTTCAAAACTAAATGCCCAAAGCCAAAACATTTCAGAAGTATTAACACAGCGAGAAGCAAACAAGTCAGACTTCAAGGGGAAGTCTACCTGGGTTGTAGGAAGACTTCCTTTAAGTGCACAATGACTTCAATATGTACACTTTTAATTGGAGGAGAAGGTGTGCAAGGAATTATTATTACATAATAAGGCCTCTGCCCTATGAAATATGTAGCGTGTTTTGGTTCTACTGAAGATATATGAAATTCCCACTCTCCCTTCAGCTGGATGAATTTCCACACATCCACCTGGACATGGGATCTAACTCAAACTCTTACCATGTGCTCAATTAGTTCCAGGAATTTTCGTTTGGGAGTCCTCAGTTAAAAATAAAGTCTGGAAACATAAGTATGCTCTCTCCCATCTTTCTTCAAATTTTACCCACTGTCAAGATCTAGCAAGAATCCTTTCCTGGTGACACTACCTCTGAGTGGGCCAACCCACCATGATCTCACTCTCTTTAGCCTATACGTGCAATTTAACACAAAGTCACATTTTATTTGTTTTTTACTGTTGTGCACTTAGACTCCCTCAATGATGATAATTTGATAAGTATGGGGACCCAGGCAGTCTTTGGAAGTTTGCTCTGTGAAAGAGGATGAGTAAATATTTCCCAGGAAGGCTTGTTTACTGATGGTGTCTGCTGGGTCAGAACCGTTATGTCACAGCCTGGAAAGGGAGGCCTGTAGTTATCTCTCCAGGAGGCCCAGTCCATGGGAAGACATGGCTGCTCCCGATATGTCAGTGCCCGACTCCTCTAAGTCATAACTTTCACCTTTATCTTTTCAATTCAAGTCTGATCACCTGGCCTGAAAGGTCTCTTAAGTATTTTCAATTATAAGATTCTTTACCCAAAACTCACTTCAGATGAGACTTTATGAACACTTTAGTCCTGTATGTTTTCCTTAAAACAAGTGAAGAGTGGTGCTCTTTAAACTAGCCAGGGTTAATCTAGCTAGCTAATCATAGAAGACTAAAACCATTTCCTTTCTTTCTGGTCTTCCATATTTACAGTTACCAGATTTAATTTGTAACCATCCATGTATCATAGGGAGAATTAAGTTTTGACAGATAAAATTCTAGGACTTGTGGTACTTGATTTGACTTTGATTTTGATAAGATGGCTCGGGTAGCCATATATGACTCAAGGGGTAGATCCAGTTCATAGAGTAGGTGATGCTGGATATGCAACAAGTTGGAGCTTAAAGAGAGTTTATAGTAAAAGAGAGAAGGAAAGATTCACCTGTATGGGAGAGTGAGTAATGCATTAAGCTCATGAAAAAAAAAGGTAGCTGGTAAACTACCTTCTCATGTGTGGCCTGGGGTCAGGGTGGAGCTTTTACAGAAAGAACAGTGGAAAGATGGAGAGTCAATCATGCTAAATAAGGCTCTATTAAAGAAATGATAATTGTGTTTAGTTCCTCTCATTTTCCTCTTTAAAAACATGTTCCCAGTAAATTCTCCTCTAAATCCTGCATACTCTCCATCTTTCCACTGTTCTTTCTGTAAAAGCTCCACCCTGACCCCAGGCCACACATGAGAAGGTAGTTTATCAACTACCTTTTTTCTTGAGCTTAATGCATGACTCTCCCATACAGGTGAATTTTTCCTTCATTTAACTAAAGCAATAAGAATGAACTAGTCAGAGATAATTGGAGTCCTACAGTGTAGACTGGGAATTCTCAATGAAGAAGTGGAGAATGCTTTTGAACAATAGACATTTCCACTTCTACGCACCAGGGCTGTAGTTAAAGATCACTGTTTATAACATGAGATGTATTTGAAGAGAACGTTACTAATACAAACTTTTAACTATTACTGAGTCTGAGTTCCACTGATGCAAATAACCACTGAATGCCTGCTACGTGTCAGACATCATAGTAGGTATTTCTCACATTCAATCCTAATTCTCAGCCCAACTACCATCACCATTACCATTTTACCATTTTACCTCTTTCCTGAGAGGTTAATTAAAACCGATGATGACATAACCAACAGTTAACCATAATTCAAACCCAACTCTACCATCAAACCCATATTATTTCTGAGAGAGTACATACATGTGTAAAAGTGCTGTATAAGGTTATTATTGATATGAAAGCATGAGCATTTATTGGGGGCTTTCAGTTTTGTT